AGATTGTATGTCTTATGTTAGGTGAAAAGGTTATTTGACGTTGCATCTGGTGAAATTAGGGTTGGAAAATTGGAATGGAGTTTTTGAATTCCATCAATTCCAATTCGAAAGTATTCGAATTTCGAATCTTATTTTTCATTCGGATTTCAAAGTTCTATTTTTGAATTTTCGATTTTCGATCCGATTTTAGTTCCGAATATTTCGATTATTTTTTAAATATATAATATAATTTTATGATGTATTTTGTAATTCCGTATTATAACTTCTGCAGTATTTTATATGAAAAATAGAAATACCAAATGCTCAAATAAATTAAGACCTTAGAAGAATTAATTGGTATCAGAAACTCTATGTTGCATTTTTCCTTATCGGGAAATATTTGTTTCAATTTGTTCTTTCTACGTATGATTTTATATTGGATTTTCTTGTATTTTCCTGCAAATTTTAGAAAAATATAGAAAAGTATTGTGAAAATTCCCATTATATCCGAATTTGGAACAAGAGATTATAAACTAATGTAATTTCTGAAATTCCGCTGATTCTGAAATTTCAGACTTTTAATTGAAACCCATTTTTTACTTCCCAAAAAATAGATTTTTTCGAAAAAAACATTTCCTATCCATTCCCCCAAGTGAAATATACCGTATGATTTTTAACCGTTGATCTGCACATAATCACACACATACCTACGCGTATGTGTGTTTAATGGGTGTTATTTAACCCCGTCACTAGTTAAAAAATCACATATTGTAGATAATCAGGTATAGCATATAGTAAGACCGTGAATTAGACAGAAAGAATAAAACTAATTTATCATGCATACAAAATAAACATTAAATATTAATTGTATATGGAATAACCTAAGCGCAAAGTGCAGAAACTTAATTTGGACACTACTACTATAGCATCATAGAGTAGTCATAGTCCAAAGATTGAATATAGCAAATGTGAAAGAGTTGAAACAAGTGAAGTGTATCAAAAGCAAGAATAGCACAAAATCAGTTAATAAAGTACAAGAAAAGTTGAAATGTATGACTTCTCTTCTTAATTTTGCCTATCTTTATTTATATAGGTCAAATTTATTTAAAGAATCTTGTTCGTTCAATTCATACTCACCAACTATTAGGTCACTCTTTCACTTTGTCCATGCCAATCTTTGTACGGATATGTAGAGGAATCGGGTGCTGTAGATGTTACACTCGATGAAATACACTGGATGATTCTGCACAATTGATCTGCATATATTACACTTGCACTCATGTGTATGTGTGTTTAGTTAGTAGTTATTTGTATAGATATTGTGTAAAATTACCCGATTATTTTACCAGTTATAGCATCTCATAGGCCGTGGAAATTGGAAGAGAATCTTTTAATTTTCTCCATTACCATCCAAAAAAAATTGATTTTTTTTCACTTATTTCGATTTCTGATTTTTCCGTTTTCAAAATTTTCAGATCGAAATTGCGAGTGGATATGTATATAAAATAATGAAAAAGTCTTATTTAATTTTCCAAAATATTATAATTCTTTTTAATTTTTCCGGAAAGTATATTATAATATCAATATTTCTATATATTAATACGATTATAAATATAATGTATAAATGATATACATAATTTTATGCATAAGGTACTAAAATGGTACGGTAAAGAGAAAATGCTACATTTTTCAAATTTTAAATTGTTTTAATCGATAAACGGCGATAAAATTGAATTTTCAAAAGTTTCCCCAAATTAAAATTTAAAAGTGACACGATTTTCCAAAGAGAGAAACAATCTAGGATTCGACTGATTCGGTTGAAAATTCGTAAAAAAGCAACATTTAAATAATATTTTATTCATAATCCACTAACTTAATGTTTATTTATTTTATTAATTAAATAGCTAAATCTATATTTATTTCCAGAGCAAATAACGGTAATCTTCTGAGTTAATGCCAAATTACGAAAAAAAACTATCATATTTTGATAATTACAACTAACCCCTCAACTGTGCATTATCTTATAAAAAAAAACCCTGCATAATGGGTGTGTAGAAAAAAACGTAGTTGATATAGGTAGTTGTATTTACTCAACCGAAGGGGTTGTTTCGTAATTTGCCATTGTTTTTAAGTTTAACAATTCCCAGGCCCATAGGCCACAGGCAGCCCCATCTTTAATAGATATTTATCTTATCGAATTTGTGCTCATGGGCCAATGCCCAATAGAATTATTAACTGTAGAAGAGTTTTACAAATGATTTTACAAAAGCTTTTGAAATGTGATTATGAATTTTTTTTAGATTATAATCACTTTCCAAAGTTTTTGCTTATTTTTGCTTTTCTTGATGCTTTAGGTGGTGTTTGCAAATGCTTTTTGAAAGTGATTATGCGGTTTTTTTTGCTCATAATCTGTTTTTAGGTGTTTGCAAAATCAACTTTTGCTTTTGCTTCTCTTAAAATAATCTGCTTTAAGCTATTTTTTTAAAAGCAGCCCTAACCTTGCTTTTTCAATTTTAGTTCATTTTCCGAAATATTTGCAAACACCCCCAACTTTTAGAAATAAGCACTTAAAACTAACTTAAATCACAATCACTAACTTCTACTTTTAAATAATCATTTGCAAACACCACCTTAGTCATACTTTTAAAAGCATTTACGCAGCAGCTTTTTTTTTGGGCTTAAAGCTACAATTTTTTTATTTATGTCCTTATATTATTTATATTTTAATCCATTTTTAAGAATGTTTAAGACAATTTACTAGAATAAGATGCCTCGTAAAGTTTATTTTATAAACACATTAATTTATAAATTAGCTTTTGTTTACATTTACAAGAATTCCCAATTTTTAGAAATAAACAATTATTTCCAACTTTACTCGAAATCACAGCCTCAACTTTTGCATAAGCTTTTGCAAACACCCCATAATTCTGGCTATATTCCACTTTCTTGCACCCTTAAAATACGTTGTTTTGGTACGTTGCGCCATCGGGGAAAAAGAAAAAAAAAAGTATTATTTTGCAATTTGAAAATACAATAAATCATTCATTATGAAACTCCAATTTTATTTTCTTAGTCGTATTTTTTTGGGATGCGACTGCAGTCAATGCATAATACCTTTATTTTTCTCCGTATTTCAACACAATTTTTGTACAATTTTACCGAATGAACACCCCTAAATTTATCATTTTTCGTAAGATAATACATAGTTGAGAGATGTTTGTAATTATGCAAATAAGAGGGGTGTTGTCGTAATTTACCCTAAAAAGTATAGTCAAAATGTTCTAAACGGGGCGGTTCTTTTAAAATATTACTCGAAACGGTTAGGGGTACGAAGCGGATAACTCACAAATTGCCCGAGAGACGAAACCCGTTCTTGCCCCGGCTGAACTCAACCCATCACAGAAAAAAACAGTCTCTCTCTCTCTCTCTCTCTCTTCTCTCTCACACACACACACACACAAAGATAGGAATACAGGATGGGGTGTGTTTGCTATAAACTATCTAGTGGTAACCTCGCAACAACTATCTCCATTTTATCCATCTCTTCCAACCTAAATCAAATATCCCTTTTCTTCATGTAAACCCCCAAAAAAATTCAATCTTTCCCACACACACACACAGAGTAGAGAGAGAGAGAGATTAGAGTAGTGCTCCGTCCGCCATGGAAGGAACCCTCTTCCCCAACAGACCAGCATTTCCAGTTCCGACAACAAAACCCTCCTCAAACCCTAACCACAACCGCCTCAAATTCAACACTTCCAGCCTCCCTCTCCCTCCATTAATCCCCCTAAATCAACAACAACAACAATCCACAAACTCATTCCCACTCGATTCCCTCCTCCAGCACCTCCTCCACATCTCCGCCCCCGTTAAATCATCCCTAACTTCTTCCCACGTCGTACCTTCCCACAATCAAGATTCTCTGTCGGCCCATTTCAGGAAAGACGACGCCGTTTTGGTTGGAACGGCCGGAAACGATGAAGGGTCCCTCGATTTTCTCCCGTTGAAATGTAAGCTCCTTCTCAACTCGATTTTAGAACAGCCCGTTTCGAATTCGCATTCGTTTTTCGATTCTGTGAAATCGGAGCTGCTCCGCGAAATCGATTTGATGAGCCTGTTGAAGGGTTTGGATATTTCCGGGGCCAGCGAGAAGGCGATTCTGCTGTTCGAATGGGTTGTTGTCAATCTTGATGCGTCCAATAGTGATAAATTGGATAACCAGATTATCGAATTGATGGTCAAGATTCTCGGTAGGGAGTCTCAGCATTCGGTTACGTCGAAACTGTTTGATGTGATTCCATACAAGGATTTCACGCTCGATGTTCGAGCGTGGACTACCATCTTGCATGCGTATTCTCGCAGCGGCAAGTACGATAAGGCGATTGCATTGTTCGATTTCATGAAGGGCAGAAGCTTAAACCCTACTCTAGTTACCTACAATGTGATGTTGGATGTGTATGGTAAAAAGGGGCGATCTTGGAATAAAATTCTCGACCTTTTGGATGAAATGAAAAGCGTAGGGCTCGAATTCGACGAGTTCACTTGTAGTACTGTGTTATCTGCTTGTGGGAGAGAAGGGTTATTGGAGGAGGCGAAGAGTTTTTTTGATGAGCTTAAGTTAAGCGGCTACATACCGGGAACCGTAACGTATAACTCGTTGCTCCAAGTTTACGGGAAAGCGGGAATTTACAACGAGGCTTTGAGTGTATTGAGAGAAATGGAGGAGAAGAATTGCCCACCAGATTCAGTAACTTACAACGAACTTGTGGCTGCGTATGTAAGGGCTGGCTTTCAAGACGAAGGGGCGGCGTTTATCGAAACTATGGCTCAAAAGGGTATAATGCCTAATGCGATTACTTACACAACTGTTATAGATGCGTACGGTAAAGCTGGAAAAGAGGACAGAGCTCTGAGTTTGTTTCGACAGATGAAGGAATCGGGATGTGTACCTAATGTGTGTACGTACAATTCCATTCTTGGAATGCTCGGGAAAAAATCACGTGTAGATGACATGATGGAGATTATATCCGATATGAAATCCAACGGCTGCAAACCGAATCGTGTGACTTGGAACACAATGCTTGTCATGTGCGGCAACAAAGGCATGCAGAAGTACGTGAACCGTGTTTTCCAAGAGATGAAGAATTGCGGGTTTGAACCAGATAGAGACACTTTCAATACCTTGATAAGCGCGTACGGTAGGTGCGGATCGGAAATCAGTGCTTCGAAGATGCACGAAGAGATGATTAAAGCTGGATTTTCGCCGTGCATAACAACTTATAACGCACTTTTAAACGCGTTTGCTCGAAGAGGTGATTGGAGGGCGTCGGAATCGGTCGTTCTTGATTTGAGAAACAAGGGTTTTAAACCCAACGAGACAACTTATTGTCTGATGATCCAAAGCTACTCTAAAGGAGGAAATATCAGAGGAATCGAAAGGATCGCTAAAGAAATCTACGACGGCCACATTTTTCCGAGCTGGATGCTCTTGAGAACTCTCGTTCTCGCGAACTTCAAGTGCAGATCGCTCGTGGGAATGGAGAGGGCGTTTCAGGAATTTCTCAAGAACGGGTACAAGCCCGATTTGGTGCTCTTCAATTCGATGCTCTCGATTTTCTCGAGGAACAGAATGTATGACCGAGCACAAGACATGATCCATTTCATACGCGAAAACGGATTGAAGCCCGATTTGGTAACCTACAATAGCTTGATGGATATGTACGCTAGGGCGGGCGATTGTTGGAAAGCGCAAGAAGTGCTTAACGGGTTGCTAGAGGGGAACGGGCGGCCCGATCTTGTTTCGTATAATACGGTTATTAAAGGGTTTTGCAGACAAGGGCTTATGCAGGAGGCTATGAGGACTTTGACCGAGATGACTAGTCGAGGTATAAGGCCTTGCATTGTGACGTATAATACTTTTGTAGCGGGGTTTTCGGCGAGAGGGTTTTTTCAAGAAGTGGATGAGGTGATTAGTTATATGATTGAGGATAATTGTAGGCCGAACGAGCTTACGTATACTACTATCGTGGATGGGTATTGTAAGGCGAAGAAGTACAAGGATGCGATGGAGTTTGTTTCGAGGATTAAGGAGAAAGATGGGTTGTACGGTGAGGAATCCACGCAGAGGCTCGTTTCGAGGATCAGGGAGAATATGGAATCTTGACTTGCTTCGACTTGTGGGTTTTTGATCTTTCACAGCCCGAGAGGTTAGGGGCAAAATTGTCCTTTTGCCTGCGGCGTCTTGATACTACTATCTTTGGGAGGTTATCGTACTATAGAGATCGTATACGACGGTTGAGTCTTCTTGTCGGAAAAACTTACTGTGCCATTTGATGTTTTCGTTCTTTTCTTCTTTCGTTTCTCTCTTTGGAATCGATTTTGATTTCCATGGAGATGTGTTCTTTTTTTTTAAACACTTGTCTGTGAAATAATCTATGTATTACTTGTAAGTATTTTTTTGCCTGTAACATCTGGTTATTGCCATGTTTTTCATTTGCTGATATTGGCCATTATTATGAAAATAGACCATTCAGTATATATATGATAGACTAGCTGTAGCCAATTGCCAACATTGATTAGCCACTAACAAATTTATTGACATTAGAAATTAAAAAAATGATAAAAAAAAATAATTAAAAAAAAAAAAAGGAAAAAAAAAACCCAACATAAATTATACATACATCTCAATATATATTCCCACTCCTTTCTTATCATGTTTCTAACAAGTTTCAACCTTACAGAAAGAACCTGAAGAACAAGCAGATACATACATACTTTATGTAAGCTAAAACTCTCTACATATATCAACCCTTCAAATTCTACACATTTTCTTTTTAATTTATAAAACAGAGCTTGCTAGTGAAAGCTCATTAAGTTCACCAAGCATCCACTCTTCCCCGGTTTGACCGCCAAGAACAATCGCCCTCGTCCCTCCAACAACACACGTACTGTGTCCCCACGCAAACCTAGGCGGCCTCCCCGGCACATTCAGTATCCTCCACGTCGGCGACTCCTCCGTCGGATCGAGTATATACAGCTGCGAAGCAGAGTGCAGCCCCGCCACAGATCCGCCAAACACCAGTATCCTGCCGCCAGGCAAACTCACAGCCACGTGGTCCAGCCTCGGCGGCGGAGCCACCCCTCCTGGATTCCCGCCGCCTGGCATCTCGCTCCCCGTCACGCACCTCCACCGCGGCTCCTCCTCCCCCAAGTCCATCGTGAACACGTCGCTCGACCGGAACCTGAGCGGCCCACTCTTCGCCAGCCCACCGAACATCAATATTTTCCTCCCGCCGTAAACCGACAGCGTGTGCCCTAATCTTGAAGGCGGGGCCCACGCCGCCGGAATCTCCCGCCAGACAGGCTTATCCGCCGCCAGGTCGAGCAAGAACGTGTCGCTAAGGAGCACACCGGAGTCGGCACAGCCGCCGGAGACTATAAGCTTCGTACCGTCGAGTGTGCACGAGCTATGCCAAGATCTCGGAACAGGTGGGCCCAAGCTCAAGATTTCGTGCCACGTAGGTAGTTTCGCGTCCAAATCCAATACGAACACGTCGTTGAGTAACCCTTGCCTCCCACATCCACCAAAGAGGACTAGGTGGGACCCGCTCATGGACGAGAGCGTGTGGCCCCACCGCCCGGGGGGCGGTGACCCAACCTTGACGTGCTGCCACTCGGGATTCGATGAGTTGAGGTCCAAAACAAAAGTATCGTTCATCGGCTGCATATTAACACCCTCACCACCGAAAACAACCACACGGTTCCCAACGGCGCAGGCACTGAAGTTGCAGCGGGAGGGTTCAACAGCACCACCCACGGTTAGTTTCCGCCACGCTGCCGCCTCAAGAGTGGTCAGCTCTCTAGCCAATCTGCCCCACCCGAGCCTCTTAGCACCGGGCACAGTTTCCAAAACTCGAGTAGTTTCGACGCCCCACGCGTTTTGACACACCATTCTCCAAAGATCTTCGCTATTGGTTAACTCATAAAAACGCAGACAAACTGACCCAACAGAAGCAATATCCCTCGGAGTTAAAAGTGATAGGATCTTCATGGCGATTACTTCGTCACTTAACTGCATTATCCCACAAAACCCTCCTCGGCTGCTGATTTTGCGGGCCCCTTCAAATACGTTGATTCTACACCTGTCGAGTGTTCTCGTTGTTGATTCTTTGGCAGAGGATCCTGGAAGTGGGCCCAGGTCGAGGGTTACTTCTGAGAATACCTGTATACCGATGATGTGCGTTATTGCTCCTTCGTCGCCGTATATTGGAGTCATGCGCAGCCTGTTCATTAGTGGAGATCCGTCTTTCCTGAAATTTAATAATTCGCCTTGAAATTCGATCCCTTTCTCGAGGCACCTTCTTATTTCGGAAACTACTGTGGGGTTCACGAGTGGGTGCCTTCGCTTGGCAAATGGGCCTCTGCATTGCAAGAACCGGCTGCACAAGTCTCGAAATAGTCAAAGATGTGATTGAGGAGAGTATCCTAATATTCACAAATTTAAAACATAAGTAAACTTATACTATAGCAAACTTCAGAAATGATTGCACCGGAAGTTGGGAAATTTGTAAATTGTACTACCTCTTTTTTTTTTTTTTTGATCGATATAAATTGTACTACCTCATAAGAGAAGAAAAGAAAAAAAAATGTAATATCTATCATTTTTAACCTTTTAATCTCTCATTAGTTATATTCATTCTTTATGTTTCAGCGAATTTTAAGGGAGTAATACCACATTGATCCTTAAATCAATCCGTGAACTCTATGTACATGCACAAAGAGAAACTAAATCTTGATGGAAAAAAGACTTAAAGAAACTAAATCATATTGTGCAGAAAGAATATCCAGCTCAGTTGTTATCAGAAGCAACACATCAGCTTTTCCGACATCCATGTATGAGTGCCAGCTTTTAAAGCAAACAAGAACTCATATTTATCATTGATTTTCCATACACGTATAGAAGCACTTAATAGGTTCTGCTTAATCAAAATAGAATATTAAACCTTCCAAGAGTAACAGTAAAAACTAGAATTCGTTAAACACGAAAATCTGTTCCCAATGCAATTATTTACTTGTTAGCTTAAACATACATATAATATTATTAGTCTGCAACAGTATCTAAACAGGTTTTACCAGTCATCCTAAATAAGCAATGCCTCCTAAACCACGGATTTGGGCAGTAAATAATTTTGACCGGATTTCACCCTCTTTGTGGCTGAAAATATACCAAAAACAAATTTTATATGGACCGCACAGTAGAAGTTCACTAAAGAACTAAAAAATATAACGTAAGTAATAGTTACAGCAATTCAATTTTGAAGCTTCTGTGCCAATATAATCGTTTCTTAGTAAACCAACAAAAAAGCTTATCTGTATCCATATAACAAGCAATATCAATAATATACTTCACAATTCAATTTTCAGAACAAAATCCAACATGTTACTTCAATAATCGCTTTAAGTCATGTTTGTCATTCACGCTATATCTGTATATCATCTTGAAACTCATCACTGGCTGTTCATAATGAAGTCAAATTAAATCTCAATAAGATTCCATGAACTGCGTACAAGTTTTGAAGAACTGATCTATCCTTGTTTTAGATCAGAATCAGATAACTAGAGCATTGTTATTCAAACTTAAACACCTCTACCATAACTAATCGATAATCTCATGTTTTTTCATGCAACAACAAAGACTGTGCAACAATTTCTATATCATACACCGTTGCGCACAACACAATTCAAGCCTCATAATTTCTCATATTGCCAAATCTCCTGGTTAAACGTCACCACCAAGGAAACAATAGTTATTCAAATTTAATATACAATTCACCGAGCCCAAAGTAACAACAAATACTAAGGGTTCAAAATGATAAATGTTTATTGCCCACTATTGCTACTAATAATAGAAAGAACAAGGAAAGCACACAGGCGAAACATCACGAAGTAAAATTCATAAAGTATAGAGGGACACAAAATTGAATTTCATAACCGACTGCCTAATCTCCCTAATCGGCTTAATATATCCAGTCATTCTTTTATTATTACCCAACAAAGATACAAAAATGGTCTTCCCGTTCATCCTCATTTGTCGAAATTTCAAAAATTCAGTTTCGATTTGTATACATCTATCGTCCACAAGACATGTTAATCGAACAACTAAAGAAACTGCAGCAGTTCAATTCATCAATAGACTATAAAAACCTGAACTTTAATAGAAGCCAAAAAAAAAAACTAACTAACCAGTTGCGACCGATAACTTCCTCCGCGCGGTAGCCAAAAACCATCTCAAACACGGAATTGACGTAAATAATAGGATTGCCCGGCTCCAAAGCATCGGCAACAACGAATCCACACGGCGCCGGTTGCAGAAGCTTATCCACAGGGAACGGCAATCCGCCGCCGCCGCCTCTCTTCCTCAACAGAAACCCAGAACCCTCTCCAAACTCCTCCAACTCGCCGTCGCTGCTCAGATCAGACTCTGCGTCACTGTCCCACTCCATCAAATACCTCAACCACAATACGACGCCGTTGCCACCTCACCCCATACAGTAACGGTGATGATCAAATCGGTAACAGAAGCAAACACACCAATTGGATTTGGGGGAAATTGGGGGATAATTGAGATTTAAGGGGGTGGGGTGAAAATGAGTGGAGGAGAGATTGAGATTTAGCAGAGAGAAGAAATGGGGGAGTAATCTAGAGAGAGAAAATATTGAGCAAATTGGGGCATGAAAAATCTGTTCGTTGGGTTTGGGGTTAGGCAAATGGAGATGGACGAGTTAGAATGCTACAGCTGGTGTTGATGTTCACAAATTTGTGGTTATATATATATCGGGAAATTACGGCCACCCCTGAGTTATGGTCAAATTACGAAACTCCCCCTCATGTTTGGGTAATTACAGCAACTTCACTCAATAATGCATTATCTTACGAAAAGACCCCTCCAGAGATAATTTAGGGATGTTAATTCGGTAAAACCGAACCGAAATTTCAGTATACCAACATTTCATACCGTTTATCGAACTAAATATACGATTTGGTTCGGTAAATAACCGAATTACATAAAATTTATGTAAAAATATTTAAAATGAGGGGGTGACTGTAATTATCCAAACAAGAAGGATTTTTTTCGTAATTTGGTCGTACCTCAACGGGTGGCTGTAATTTGCCCATAAAATGAATTGCATGTAAAGTCCAAGAAGGGCAGCCCAAAATCGGAAGCCCAGTTCTATTAGTAAAGCGTCTAAAACCTAGCAAGAAGGAGACGTCGTTCGCCCTTATGACGTACGTCGACCGGATGTAGAGCCATATAGGTTATAGTGTGACCTCGGATCGGGGTTTTAGACGAGCTGAGGCATGTTTACCTAAAAGGTAATTAGATCAGAAATCCTAATGAAGTTTGCATCTAATGAAAAGAAATATCTATATTTAGAGGGGTTCGTTAAAACTTTTACTCTCTAATCCATTTCACTAAACTACACAATAAATGTTTTAAAACCCTCTTCTGAATTGATTGTCGGAGCTTCTATGCCGAAAAAATCCTCCTAGTATTGCAGGAACAGCGGTCGATCGAGATTCCGGCGAACTTGGAAGCTCACGAAAGAAAAATCAAGCTAACAAAATAAACATGTGCCTTTGTTTTTCATAGCATGTTCTCATATCCCATGTGTTCAATCAAAGATTAAAAGATTAGGACCCTCCAAACTGATAATTAATTAATCAACAAAAAATATAGCAAGTCGGTGTGACAATTGATGATTTGATTTTGCAATTCAAGTGCAAGAAATAAGGAATTAAGGCAACTCCAACAATTTTTCTATAATTTTACCATTTTTATCTCAAATTATAAAAGTATTGTAATTTTACTATTTGGTGAACACATTCTAGCAATAATTGTTTATATTTTAACACATCACTGCACAAAAATAATTATTTTTGCGAAACTGTTATTTTTAGTATGATATTTAATATATTTAGTTATATAATAATATAAACTAAATTTTATTGTTTAAATTTTTTTGAATACAAATATGATATAATTTTAATTTTTTTTAACTCTCAAATTAAATGTCAAGAATCATTGACATTTGACAACATTACCAAAATATTATTAATTAATTAAATAAAAATGAAATATCAGTGAATTTATTGGAAAAACTAACCGTTAAAAGCAAATTTACCATTTCACTTTTTGGCTTGCCAAACCTAAATATTAACAAGTGTTGTAAATTTTAAAAGAATTTTGGCCAAATTTTGAGAAATGGTAAGTTATAACATATGAAAGAGCTGTTGGAGTAATTAACAACAGGCAAATTATATTTAAATTTGAAAAATAAACAATTGAATTTTTTTTTCCCAAAAAGATATTCAATTCAAATTCTAAACATAGTCCAAATTATTATTAAATAATTTGTTATTATTAGAAAAGAAATAGAGAAAGAGAGATATGGAGAACAAGATCCACGCGAATATAGGGTACCGTGCTTTTTCCAACTGTAATACCGAAAAAGCCCCTAATATCCTCTGACAATTACTTCCCAATTTATTATCAGTATTTAGTACAACCTTCTTCCACTTTTTTCACACTCAACTACACACACTTCTTCACTTCCAAAAACACACACTAAAAATTTCTGGGTTTGTCCGAAAAGTAGAAAGAAAGAAAAAAAGAAAAAGTAGTGAGAAAGAATTCTTCTTTTGATTTTCAATTTTTTTTTAAATTTAATTAATTTGTTGAGCAGCCAGAGATGCCAATCCAGAGCGACGCCGCGACGCCGCCGCCGAGGATCGGGAAGATCGGCCCGTACACCGTGTTCGTGACGCCTCCGGCAACCCCGAGTCCCGGCCCAAAACCGGAATCTCGGAGTAGAACCTCGCCGGTTCAGTTTCAGGTCGAGACGCCGGTTCAGCCGCCTTCCCGGCCGCCGGTTATGGCACCTCCGGCGCAGTTCTACAAAGAGAAGCCGTCTTCTTTCTCTTTCTTCTGGAACACCGTTGCCAAAGTTCAGAATGGTATCTTTCATTAACTCCCCAATTTTATTTTTAATTATTATTCGGAGTAATTTAAAATTTTTAAAAAAAAAATCAATTTAATTTCCTAAATTTGATTTAATTTGAAAATTAAGCTCATGCGAGTTTGGACGAACACGTGGCACACTGGTTTGGGTTGAACCAGTCAAAGTATCAATGGGCGTTGGATGATTACTACGAAAGCAATGGAAAAGTGAGTTTTTTCTCTTCTCTTTTATGAGGATTTGCAATAGGCTGATAGTTAGATTTTAACCATGGTTACACTTACACTGCAATAAAATGGAATTTGGATCAAATTTGAAACTCTATAAGAGTTACCTCAATAAATTTAGAATTGTTATATATGATAGGGATAGGTAAAATCGCCCATCGTTCTTGAACAATAAGTGCTCCGCATTTCTTCTTGGTCAAATTACGAAAAAATCCCACCCGTTTGGATAATTACAACAGTCCCACAACTAAGAATCTTCTTACACGTCCACCCTTATGGTGTCAAATTCAACAGAATCTTCTAGATTTCGTGAAATGTTCTTTAGTGTGTACTCGTTTGTGCAAAAATGAACTAGTTTCTAATGCACCACAATCTGATATTTACAATCTGATATTCACATCTTGTTTGAAAATGTGGAGCTCGAATGGGGTAAAACGGGTACAAACTGGAGAATATTCCACATAATTTAGAAGATTCCACTAAATTTAACACCATAATCATAAGAGTGGAAGTGTAAGAAGATTCAAAGTTGAGGGTGATGGCTGTAATTATCCAAATAGGAGAGGTTTTTTCGTAATTTGATCTTATCTCAGGTGTGGTCGTAATTTACTCTTTCTTCTTTAAGGATATATATGTTCATTAAATGAAAAGGTCTACTGTTCATGAAATCAGTCGACCAAGTATAAATTCAAAAATTACGGATTTGTTATGCAACTTCTTGATTATACTTGCTAAACTCGTAATGTGTTGGCTTATAATTCTTGTTCATCTTTTGCTAACATTAGCATAAGTGGGTTATTGTTTAAAGTTCTTAGTCATAGCTTGGTTTCGTTTAGTTCGTTGTGTCATTTATTTGTCCTACAAATAGCAGTGGAGTTGTGTATCCAATTCAAATTCTGAGTTCTTTATTGTGTTAATAGTTTGCCTTCAAGAACAAAAAAATAAATATGTATCTATTTTTGTGATGTTTTGGATGGCAGAATCATGTCGTAGAAGCAAAACCACAGGTTAAATCCAGCAAAATACAGAGTGTATGAGTAAAGCTTGGGAACCATCATTTTCAAGGAGGAGGATAAGGGCAAAGAAGTCATTTTGCGTTATTTCGTTTCTGAATTCGGCATTATCAAATGTGAGAATGCCTATAAGCAGTTATTTTTTTATTAACTACATTTAGCTGTTCTTGTTGTTGTTGTTGTGCTATGTTGTAGCCTTTTGTTAATATCTGCAGCTGAGCAAACTTGCAAGAGTTGCTACAAAATGCTGTTTGTGTTTTGTACTTGTATTTGATGATGTAAAAGACGAAACCTAGCAAATATATAAACTCGATCGACATTTTCTGTTATATGAAAAAGTGAGGGAGATGTTGCAATTGAACTTTGTACATTGATTCGACTCCTAACTAGGATTGGTAAAAATTGGTTTTATAAATTTGTACGGTTGAGAGGGTAGGGGGTGTTTAGGTAAGCTTATAAGCTGTTAAAAATGGCTTATTAGATGTTTAAGAGTTTATAAACTCTTGAAGTGTTTGGCGAAAAAATTCAAAAAGATTTTTTTTTTTTTTAAATAACCATAGGAGAATTTATAAGATCTTATAATGAGCAAAAATAACTCATAGCCTTGTTATTCATACACTTTATTTAGGTGGTGTTTGCAAAAGCTTATTTAAAAGTAGAAGTTAGTGATTGTGGTTTAAGTTGTACCTAAGTGCTTATTTCTAAAAATTGGGGGTGTTCGCAAATTAGGTGGAAAATCAACTAAAATTAATAAAGCAGGTACATGTCTGCTTTTATAATTATAACTTAAAGCAGCTTATTTTAAGAGAAGCAAAATCAAAAGTTTATTTTGCAAAAACCCAAAAACAGATTATGTGCAGAAAACAACTCATAATCTATTTCTAAAAGCATTTGCAAAAACCACCTTAATTCTGAAAATAAGTTTTAACAACTTATTAACTTCTAAAACAACTTAAGAGATGTAAGAGTTTATAAGCTCTTCAAAATAAGTTTTTCCAAACCCCTCATCTCCTCACAATAGATAAGCCTTGAATGGTTAGGTGTGAACTCCATGAAACATCTGCTTATGAAAACCAATATTCATAGAATTTGTAAAACTTTTTCTCTTTTTTTTTTTTTTTTTTTTTTAAATATAAAAAGTATAATTATTTTGCCTGCAAAGTTAGGTATGATTTACCCAACTTGTACGAAATTGTATCATGAAGGTTGTCTGTAAGAAAAAATAGCTAATCTTGATGGTGACCTAATCATTATCGGCAGACGTTGTTTCATCAAAGGCTAATTAGAAAGTTCGAACTCTTTAACTTTCTCAAGCTTGGGCTCGAGCATTTGTCGAGTCGGCTCACTAGGTTGATGAGTCGACTCAACTGATTTACATCGTTATGATGAATTCATCATACGAACTAATTGTTACCCCTAATTAGAGTTCCATCATAGAAAAGAACCCCTAATACTTGAGATTCGAATCTTCGTCCGAAATGCTGAATACTAACAAGATTATTTAAATAAACTCATTCTCACTTCGACTCGTTAGAAAGAAAATTCTATATACAACAGTCTCGGCACAACAAATTTATAATTCCAACATCCGTAACATAATCGTAGACAACAAAACATTCAAAGGGATTCACTATTAAACGTGTCGGTTCAGAGAGTAACAAAAATTAACCCATGCGTGTAAAAATGTCTAGTGATTTACAGACCCATTGAAACCAGTATGAGATAACCACAAAAAAAAAAAAAAAGAGAACAAGAGAGGAGTCGAGCAAACAGACAAGAGCAGAGAGAGACGTCTATACATCGAACGGAGTTTAGCAAATAATTTTTTTTTTCTAGACAGGAGGTATGTTGGCGAATGAGAAACCTTTGTAACCCTTGTATGCATAATACGCGATCCTCGTGTAGTAGAATCCAGGCAGGAATAGAATCCCGCCCAGTATAGCGAAAAATATCCCTTCAATAAAAACATGACGAAAATAAATCAATTACGAGGGAATCAGATAGTTAGTAAAAAGAAGAAAAAAAAACACGTTAGTAGAAAACACATGAATGCTTCAATGGGAGAAATCCGTGCTGTGGGAGATGTACTCTAAGGCCTCGTTTGGGAATGTTTACAGGACTGATAACATTAATGTAATATGTGGTTAATGATTATCTTATGCTTGATTTGTACTGCATATCCTTCATATGCTTGATTAAAATACGGGCCCCTTTTTCTTTATCGTGGACTTAAAACCAAAAATTCCAAATATTTGAAAAAGCTCGATTATATTGTTCGTTCATAATTTCCCAAACAAGGCCTAAAGATGCCTAACTCTCCATGATCAGCCAGAAATTCTCAATACCAAAAACAAAGTGCACGATGAACTAGCCAGGGATAAATAGAAACGTGGCATAAATAACACAGTAATATTTCATCGTTGAAACAACTATACACTACAGTGATATTATCATATATTATAGGGTAAATTACAACCACTCCCCTGAGGTATGGTCAAATTACGAAAAACCCCCCGTTTGGATAATTACATCTACCCCTCAACTATGAATTTTCTTACATCTCCACCCTTATGGTGTCAAATTCAACATAATCATCTCGATTCCGTGAATGTTCTCTAGTTTGTACTCGTTTTGTGCAAAAATACAGTTTTTGATGCGCCACAATCTGATATGTACAAACCAAAAAACACATTTTATGAACATTTAGCTCCAAAATGTGGAGCTCGAATGGGATAAAATGGGTTCAAAATTGAGAATATTCCATGTAATCTAGAAAATTCCACTAAATTTGTGGCAAAATACAGTTTTAGATGCGCCACAATCTGATATGTACAAACCAAAAAACACATTTTATGAACATTTAGCTCCAAAATGTGGAGCTCGAATGGGATAAAATGGGTTCAAAATTGAGAATATTCCATGTAATCTAGAAAATTCCACTAAATTTTTGTGGCAAAATACAGTTTTTGATGCGCCACAATCTGATATGTACAAACCAAAAAACACATTTTATGAACATTTAGCTCCAAAATGTGGAGCTCGAATGGGATAAAATGGGTTCAAAATTGAGAATATTCCATGTAATCTAGAAAATTCCACTAAATTTGAAACCGCAAGGGTGGACGTGTAAGAAGATTTATAGTTGAGGGGTGGTTGTAATTTACCCTATATTATATTATATTATATGATCTAGTATCAAAGCAATTACACGACTTTCAGACTAAACATGCATTAGGAAGTTTGTCGAAATCCGTTCCTCGACCAACATACAATAAGGTAGAGAAAGCATAACCATAGCAAGAATGAATACAAAAAAAGAGAAGCAGCTTCGTTCACCGAGGCGATCACATTCTCTGTTGATTGATAAATGATAATGGCAAATAGGTGTAATTTCATTCCATAATTAGATAATGTAAATCGTTTTAATGTCTTCATTAGATACAATCCAAGGAGAAATATGCGGGAGTTCTCAACTTAAACGAACATCTTACCATTGACACATATCCATATAAACCTTAGTATCGAGCTAATCAATAATTAACCATGCCCACTTAAACTTCTAGAACCTAGCCTATCTCGTATAATCGGATCCATTCTTTTCCAACGAGAATCTACTCCCAGGTGGTGTTTGCAAAAGCTTTTACAAATAGCTTATGATAATCTATTTTTAAGAGTTTGCAAAATGAACTTATGCTTTTGCTTCTCTTAAAGTAAGCAACTTTAAGCTATAGCTTGTTAAGCACCTATTGGTTTTTTCTGTTTAAGTTGATTTTCGAGTAAATTTGCAAACACCCCCAGCTTTTAAAAATAAGTACTTAGAATCAACTTAACTCACAATCAATAACTTCTGCTTTTAAATAAGCTTTTGCAAACACGACCACAGTATACTTCAGTTTAAGTCTTTATTTTCAGGTAATACAACGGAATTATTAATTATTAATTATTAATTATTAATTTCCATTTTTAATGTTTCCCCAAGTAACAACCAGCTCGTACAATCTGCTACAACAATCAACAATTTCAGATATGCCCTAATATTTTTATTTTTTATTTTATTTCTGAGCTATTAGAGGTTTTAGTGATTAACTGATTAAAACCCCCAAATTTTAACCTAATTAACAACTAATTCGAACAGAAAACCCAAATCATGCTCCCCCAACCGACACCAAAACAAACCCCCATCGAGAAGCAGTAAACCAAAAGATACGGCGAAGGGCAAAACGGGAAATTTCGGAAAAAAAAAAAAGGGTACCGTGGGCGCGGTCGCCGCCGACTTGATTGACGGCCATGGCGATGCCGAGTACGATAGCGAGGGCGCCGAAAACGAGGAGCGCAACGGCGAGGGCGATCTCTTTGATTGGCGGCTTGTTGTTGACGGTGTACGAGGTTCCCATCATTATATCCTCGTCTGAAATCGAGAACGCGTGATCCACGTACGCCATTTATTTTTTTACCTCCAGAGATACTTTCGATGGGTTTCTTCCCTTTTACCTAGTGGGTTTCAGAGAGATTAATTCAAGAGAGAGAAAGACTGTGGTAGAGAGAGAAGGAGCTGTGAGAATCGGTGAAGAGAGAAGAAGAAGAATAATAATCAAGAGTGGAATACCGTGGGCAATACGTTGCACAAGAAGAAGAAGAAAGGGCTTTGTTGGGATTTTGGACTGGAATTCAGAATTCTTCAACTTCTTTTATTTTATTTTATTTTACTTTTATTTTGGAAGAAAAACCACAAGTCTTTTTTTATAGGGTAAATTACAAACACCCCCCTGAGGTATGGTCAAATTACAAAAAAACCCCTCTTGTTTGGATAATTACATCTACCCCCCTAAACTATGATTTTTTCTTACACCTCCACCCTTATGGTGCCAAATTCAACATAATCATCTATATTCCGTGAAATGTGCTCTAGTTTGTACTCGTTTTGTGTAAAAATACAGTTTTCGATGCACCAGAAACTGATATATACAAGCTAAAAATCACATATTATGATCATCTTGCTTCATAATGTAGAGTTTGAATGGGATAAAACGGGTACAAAAGTGATAATATTCCATATAATCTCGAAGATTCCACTAAATTTGAGGGGGTGGTTGTAATTATCCAAACAAGAGGGGTGTTTTTGTAATTTGACCATACCTCAGGGGGGTGTTTGTAATTTACCCTTTTTTATATATGGTTTTAGGAAAACAAATTTTATAAAAAATAAAAATAAAAAATTGGAAGATAAGCAAAAGCTATTTTCAAAGAATTGTTACGGGGTAATTAAATTGCACGTCAATACACTAATTTTAAGCTTTGATGAAGGCACCTTAACCTCCGTTATGTTTATCGAGTTTGTAAATGCTACACTTGATGAAATATATCGGAGAATTCTACATTGTTGAAAAATATTGGGGGCGATGGCCCCCCTGACCCTATACTAGCTTGGCCACCGCCTTTGTGAATAAAAGTCGAAATTTTAATAATTTTCCATTTGGGCTGAACGTTTTATTTGGCTTCTAAACAATCATGAAATTATGTGGGTTGAAAAACATGTGATGTGGTTCTAAACAATAATAATGGATCTGTATTATGGTGGAGAAATTGGACGATAAGATCATACAAATAATTTGGGTAAATTCCATTTTTCTCCCTTCTACTTTGGCAGGATATTATTTTACCCCCCACTACTTTCAATTGCATCGATTTGCCCCCTTGTACTTTGACTCGATGTCACTTTACCCCCTTCTACTCTCAATTCCATCGATTTGCTCCATTGTACTTTAGCTCGATATCACTTTACCCCCTTATACTCTCAATTGCAGCGATTTGCACCCTTGTACTTTGGCTCAATATCACTTTACCCCCTTATACTCTCAATTCTATCGATTTGTCCCCTTGTACTTTAGCTCGATATCACTTTACCCCCTTATACTCTCAATTCCATCGATTTGTCCCCTTATACTTTAGCTCGATATCACTTTACCCCCTTATACTCTCAATTCCATCGATTTGCCCCCTTATACTTTGGTTCGATATCACTTTACCATCTCTACTCTCAATTGCATCGATTTGTCCCCGGTACTTGAAAAATTGTCTCAATGTGGCCCTTGCAGTTAGTTTTCACATCTTTGACCTTAACACCGTTTGATCTAAGTTTGAAAATTACTAAAAAGTCAACCCTCCTAGTTTAAATAATATTAAAAAAAAATTCAAGACAACGAAAAAACACAGTCCACGACGTCAGCCACTATTCATGTATAATTTTTTTTTTTAATTTTTTTAATAATTATTTAAAATGGGAGGGGTGACTTTTTTGTAATTTTCAAACTTAGATCAAACGATGTTAATGTCAAAGGTGTGAAAACTAACTGTGTGGGCCACATTGAGACAATTTCTCAAGTACATAGGACAAATCGATGCAATTGAGAGTAGAAGGGGGTAAAGTGATATCGACCCAAAGTACAAGGGGGCAAATCGATGCAATCGAGAGTAGAAGGGGGTAAAATGATATCCTGCCAAAGTACAAGGGGACAAATCGATACAATTGAGAGTAGAAGGGAGTAAAGTGATATCGGGCCAAAATATAAGGGGGAAAAGTGGAATAGATTATAAAAAGAAAAAAGAAAAATAAAATCCTAGAAAGAAATAGTGAAAATGAAAAAGAAAACGATATATGATCGAAAAACGTACTCTGAGAAATTTTAATTTATAATTCTTATAACGATTCAAAAGGACAAAATATTTTTTTATGAAATTTGAATGAATTATGGGTAAATTGGAAAAGTCATCCTAAAGTTAGGCTAAAAAAGAACAACCCCACCAGTCCCTACTCACTAAAATTTCCTTGACGTTTGTTCCCGATTACACCGACCCTCTTAAATGCCAATTTGATCTCTGCTGACGTGATTTTTCTTTATGTTACTTTTAAAGACAAAAATTACCATTAAAGGAATAATGGTAATACAAAAAAGTTGTGGATTGTGTTATTTAAGAAGAAAAAAAATCCTTATAAAAAGTCATATGAGGGTAATTTTTCTTTATACAAATTTACATAAAGAAATGTCAAATCCGCATGGATCGAATCGAAATTTTTTAGGAAATATTCCCCGAAATAAAAAAAAATGTGAAAAATCACTATATAAGGAGTTTGTGTAAGTTGGAAACAAACGTCAAGAGGATTTTGATAATTATGAATAGGAGGGAATATTTTTATTATTGAATAAATTCAGGAAGAGTTTCGTAATTTACCCATGAATTTTCAATTCCAAAATCAAACATTTTTGTACCGAAATCGGAAAAAATCGAGAATCTCATTCTAATTTATGTTCCTGATTTGTAAAATATGTCATTCTACATTTTCGTTGCGGTTGTTAACAACCAATGTTTTTAAAACCGGACCGGACCGGCCGGTCCGACCGGTTCAACCGGGAACCGGAAGCCAGTCCGGTCCGGTTAAGCATGAAAACTCGGATGCTCCAAAAAACCGGTCGGAAGGCGAAAGACCCGAAAAACCGTCGGTTGAACCGGAATATCCGAACCAGAAAAAACCCGGGTTTCGTCACTAACTGAAATTTTAAGACAATTAATTTATAGATCTGGCTGAGTTTAAAAAAAATGTATATAGATCTGATATGCAAGATGATAGAGGAAGAAGAAAAAGAGAAAAGTCAGTCAAGTTTGCCGCTGAAATAGACGAAGGGCTGTTGCTCCGATCTGGATATAAGTTCTACAATGGTGGAAGAAAGAAGAAGACGAGATGGAGGAGGAAAAGAAAAAGAATTTGGCGTGGGGTAGGTGGCTGGGGTGCTTTGGAGTTTGTGATGTGTCTGTGTTGCGTAAGAGAGAGAGGAATTAATGATATATGAAAAAAAAAAACAGAATTAGGTATAAATAAAAACTATTTAAATATATTAATAAATTTAGTTAATTAAATTATTTCTTTTTTTAGATGTTCAATAAATTAATTCAAAATTAGTTTAATATTATTGTATTGAATTTTTATGACGAATTAATTTATTAAATTATATTTTTTAAAAGATAATAATATTATAATTATTCACAAATAATTTAAAATAAAAAATATTCAAAAACCCGGTTGGACCCCGGTTGAACCGGTTCGACCGTGACCCAGTTGACTAGCCGGTTCAATGTCCGGTCCGGTTTTCAAAACATTGTTAACAACTTATTAATTTCAGGGGTTGCTTGTAATTATGCAAACAATGAGGGTCTTTTTTCGTAATCAGGCCTTACTTCAGGGGCTCCTTGTAATTTGCCCTAGTAAGTAGGAAGAAATACAGTTCGGTTTTGAATAGTTCATTCCCAATTCTCCATCTCTTCTAATTTTAATTCATTCATTTATTTATTTATGAATTTGTATTGTATTTGCAGCCGTCCCAGTAGAAGACAAATGGAGGGCTGGACTACGATACTCCACCCCTCTTTAACTACAACAGCTACCAACACTTTGATTTGTTCGATGTTCCCACGCTTTCGCAGCTTCGATTATATCCATGTATGTTGTAATAATCCCACACAAACAAAAATTTCAACTGCATATGGATCGTAGCTTCTTGCTGTGGGATTCTTGATCAGAATCATGCCTCGTTCATCACTTGAAGGTACGCACACCCAAATTCTTTTGTCGATTTTCAGACAGCCCCTTTTCATTTTTCTTTAACATGTTTTGGCTTTGTCGGAATGATGGTGGTTTCACGGTGGCGAAAATTGTTTCTCTGTTTTGACAGTGGCTGTGGTTTTATTGATAAATATTGCATTACAACCTAATATTACTGAGTTTTTTGGAGTTTCTGGATATTGCTTACAAACTGTTTGATTAATTGCTTCATAGAAACTAGAGATAGAGAATGATGTTGTTCAACTCTGGCAAGTGATTTTTATTTGTGAATTTCAAATCTTTTAAGATGTTTTTTAGTAATTGGATTTTGCATTAGTATAGTTTTCGTGGTTAAGTCTCCAAAAGTATACTACTTTGTTGAAGAGAAACTCTTTCTTCTTACATGATTCATGTACGAGAAACAAGTAAAATCTTTGAATTATTTTCGCCTTTATTATCGAAAAAAAGACTGATTGATAGATCAACATTTCAAGTGAATGCAGTGATTTCTCCATCAGCATCACTCGATATGCAGAGTTCGACGTCGAAACACCCTTCACCAGCTCTCTTCTTTTTCCTCGGTGGAATAATATTACTCCTCGTATTACTGATCCTAATATTCATCTTCCGAAAAATTATCAAACCAGCAAAAGTGAGGATGCTCATCGCTCGAACAATTAAGCAGCCAGGTTTCTTGATTCGGTAGCTTCAGTCTTTAAAAAAGTAAATAGTTTCGAAATTATTGTCTAATGCTGAATTCTATTGCAGTTACAAAAGATGTCCTAAGTGGTAATCTTCGTACAATAACCTATTTCCACTTCAACACACTGAAGAAGGCAACCAAGAATTTCCACCAGAATAATCTGCTCGGTAGAGGTGGATTTGGACCAGTATACTTGGTAACAATTAGTAAATTGGAACCGCATTTCTGATTCCGATCCGGAATTTTCCGATTTTGGAACAGTATTTTTCATTCCGATTTTTTTTAATGGAATTGGAATATATATGAGATTCCGATTTTCGATCCAATTTTGAATTCCAAAAATTCCGATTTTTTTCCCAAAAATTTCACTTGTAATATAAAAGTTATTATCTATTTAACATTTTATGTTACTAAATATTCCAACTTTCTGAACTTTTATCCGAAAATTTCCTATTTTGGAACAAGTTTTTTCATTCCAATTTCCGAAATTCCGATTTCCAAATTTTCCGATTGTTTCTGGAACGGAATTGGAATTAGTTTTCCACTCCCGAAAAAAAATTAGATTTTTTTACAAAAGGGCTAATTCTGATTTGTATCGGTCCGATTTCTGCCTCTAGTAACAATACACGAAAAAAAACATGTTTTAATTTCCTCCTTTCTTGAAATAGTAATAGAACATCTTTAATTTTCTTTCGATTTTTAACAGGGCAAGTTAGAAGATGGAAGGTTAGTTGCAGTAAAGAAACTCTGCGTTGAGAAATCACAGCAAGGCGAATCGGGATTTCTTGCCGAGGTCAAGACAATAACGAGCATACAGCACAAGAATCTCGTACGTCTTTTAGGTTGCTGTTCAGACGGAGCTCATAGGCTACTTGTGTACGAGTACATGAAGAATAGGAGTTTAGACCTTATCATCTACGGTATATATATTTTTTGTCTAATTCTTTATTTGCTATTTGGTCCTAAATGATTTTGTGTGAATACGATTCTTTGGTCGTATAATGCAGGAAAAAGTGATGTATTTTTAAATTGGGGCACTCGGTTACAGATAATACTTGGGAGTGCTCGAGGCTTGCAATATCTACACGAAGATTCGCACGTGAGAATTGTACATAGGGATATTAAAGCGAGTGACATTTTATTGGGCGACAAATTTCAACCTAGGATCGGAGATTTTGGTCTGGCTAGGTTTTTCCCCGAAGATCAGGCTTATCTCAGCACCACATTTGCGGGAACCTTGTAAGTACTCTCTCTCTCTCTCTCTCTCTCTCTCTCTCTCTCTCTCTCTCTCTCTCTCTCTCTCTCTCTCTCTCTCTCTCTATATATATATATATATATATATATATATATATATATATATATATATATATATATATATATATATATTACATAATCTTCACATTTTGACAGAGGTTATACGGCACCCGAATACGCCCTAAGAGGAGAACTGTCTGAAAAAGCAGACATATACAGTTTCGGTGTCTTGGTGCTAGAAATTATTAGCTGCAGGAGAAATACCGATCTCAAATTGACATCGGAAATGCAATACCTCCCCGAATATGTAGGGCCCACATCCTTTAAATTTCCTCAAAATTCTTCAATTTTTTTGTATTTTTTTTAACTTTCTAATATGAACGAATATACTTTCTGTGCAAAGGCATGGAAGCTATACGAGAAGTCCATGTTAATCAATCTCGTGGATCCAAGGATACGAGAGGATTGTTTAATCGAGAAAGATATACTGCAGGCGACACGTGTCGCGTTCTTGTGCCTCCAGCCTCTGGCCAATCAGAGGCCGCCAATGTCTGAAATTGTGGCAATGCTGACATGCAAAGTCGAGCTCGAAGGAGTATTGCCAATGAGACCGGCTTTCTTGGAGCGCAAGAAAAGGGTTAATAATGACGAGAAATTTTCGTGGGATTCGATTTCCGAGCCTTACCCTTCTCCTGTGAAGAGCGATTCTCCCTCATTCCCTCAGTATCACAAGTAAGAATTCGTTCGAGGAAAAAATAAAAATAAAAACTTTTATATATTTATTTATTTATTCGGCTGACTTATTGCATTTTGGAAAAAATCCAGCATGTAATATGTGTAGATAAATAAACTTATATGGTGGTGGTTACCATTTTTGGCTTGCATCAAATTCAAATTGAAGATCAATTTTTTTTGCCTGTGTACATATATTGGTATGCTTTGTTATTCTTCACACGCACACGCACACGCGCACACACACACACACACACACACACACACACGTGGGAATGGACAGCAAAAATTGAGCTGGAGAAAGTCAAAACAGATTGGTTGGATATAACCTTCTCTTACACAGAGGTTGCTCCTTGTCTAAGTTTGATAAAATGTGCCAGCAGGTAATGTTTGTCCAAATTTGGCCAATCCCTTTTAATAATGTGTGTCAAATACTTGGTATATTTTCACAAGATTGATCATTTTCTTTAGAAATTTCATCAATACTATGTGTAAATTTTTAGAGGGTTACTCTTGTGATTATCTCGAGTCCAAACTAATTGCACATTCAATCAAAACTCGAATTACTGAAAATTTTATCATATATATAAAAGAAAGAAACAATAGGACCAACCCTACAAAAACCCCTAAGGATAATTTTTGTAATTCCTTTCTCTACTAATTTTTTTAATTTGGTATTTTTTCCTTTATTATCTCATTAACAATAGTTTTGCCCGCTTTCTATATTTATTCCAACTTTTCTTTCCCCAATGGGATCCTTCCAAAAAAAATCTATTTTTTTTTGCTATACCAAATTTTCCCCCCCCCCCCCCTTATTTATTAATATTTTTTTGGCTTTTTTTAAAAGGGTTCCTTTTATTTAACGAATCCAATTTCCCTAAAAATGAAAAATTG